CACACACACACACACACACACACACACACACACACACACACACACACACACACTCCCATTACTCTCCACCCCCGAATATTGAATTTAAAATGAGCCAATGGCTATGATTATGTAAGAATTTTTTCCAGCATATGATATGTAAGAGCATGACTAGGAATATCCGAAAACAATTGTTCGTTCACCGACTCGTTTTCTCAATGCTATCATGGGAATATTCAAGCTTTCTGTGTATTTCTCAAAGCTGGATTCTACGTCATCTGTTGACCCCAATAGGGGTTTCTTCTAATCTAGTGCCGCAAATGCGAATAAGGCGATCTGCTTCACCTAAACACCATGCACACAGGATATTTCACATTTACAAATGTTTCCTATACTCTGACCGACACACCCTTTGCGGTGATGGGAAAAAAAAAACAGAACAATTGCTCAGAACACAAATTCGGAAGAATTATTTTTCGTTCCGAAATTACCGAAAAATAATGTCAGTAATAATAATAATAATAATAATAATAATAATAATAATAGTACTAATAAACCATTTGAATGTGTCCATATGGGTATCAAATGTCAGTATCAGCTTGTACGCACTAAGGTGCATACATCTTCATGTGTGTGTGCTTAGACATGCTGTTCGAACCAAGGTGGAAAAAATCTGCCACTGCTTTTTTGGGAACAATAGTCGAGTTGAAATGCGTATTAAAGGGGAGGGGGGGGGAGAGACGAGTATCCCAAATCGGCACGCAATAGCGACTCGTTGAAACCCTGTTTGGGTCTGGGTCAGTCAGGAAGACGTCAATCATGAGATCGGAAGCAAACTGGAAAAGGCGTGGATAAACAGAAATGTGACAGGACTGAGTGAATAATCAGTTGTGGCCAGTGTGGGATCACAAAAATAAACGATCGATAAAATCCACTGGAACGAGAGTGAAAGAGGGGAGTGAATAAGTGACTAACAGAAGAATTGCGAACCGAGACTGAGCTTTGGATGGATTAAAAATGAACATGCCACCACGACGTGAGACCGTTACGGATAAATATAATTCAAAACTTGTTCCATATAACCAGTAGCGTTGATATTTGTGGCCTTGTAAACTCACAGATCAGTTCATAACATCTGCGTGCTTGTGAATACCAATAAATACAAGAGACCAAAAAAAAAAAAAAATTTGGAAGGGGGGAAGCGCAGGGACAAGAAATTGAATAAAACCAGACTGAGCCACACTTGATCGGTATGTGGCGTGCACACACATGCGTGCAAGATTTAGGAAGAGTGTGTGTATAAAACGTGGGGAGGGGGGAAGTACGAACGTGTATAACGAACCGGTAAAGGAGCATAGGACGAGAGGAGGGACAGAAATGCATTGGTACATTGAAATAAATTGATGTGATTGATGGTCTTGCGGCTAGTGCTGGTGTTATCGTTCAGGTAACTGTTGCGCGTTAGTTTTTTCTTTGTTATCACTGTGACCAATTCATCCGATCAATGTGAGTGTGAACAGACGTGTACAAAAAAGGATATCGGAACAGTGTTGGGAAAAAAATGAGTGAACAATCAAAAGACGGACAAAACGACACAAAAATTAACAATAAAAGAAGAAATGAACCAAAATAGAAGTTTCGTTTTGTTTTCAATATTGAATAAGAATACAAATACAATAAGAATAATAAAACAAATGATTTATTGGAAATTAAAAAAAATGATCTGGTTTGTCTTGGTGGTTTTTGGTTGATTCGGACGCAATAGGGTCGACGGGGTGGATGGGTCGGTGGCGCTGAGAAAGNAAAAAGCCCCAGAAGAAATTGGTCGCCAACACTGTTCCGAGCAATGGTTGCAATTCATTGTTTCCTGAACAACCAAAGCGAACAATGAGCGGAATAGTATGTGTGTGTGTGCGTGTGTAGTGGGAGCATGAATCCAGTGATCAGCCGACAATCAGGAACGAATCGACCGCGCAATAGTGAAGGAATGCACCGACCATGACAAAACAGTGCCAAATCGCATGTGCCATGGGAATATGACCGTCCAGTTTGAAGAAAATTATTCCTACCACATAAATGATTCCACCGAGTAGCATGAGATGCAGACCGGACTGTTCTTGCTGTAAGGAACGGAGGCAAAACAAGAAGGAGACAGAAAAGTTTTTGGAACATTTCAGTGCAGTCGTGTGCACGTTTTCTGTCTTGTCAATGACAGATTTTATAGCCTTGTTAGATAGAAAAAAGCCTTCAAATACCAGAAACATGAGGTCATGAAACTGTGAATTGCAAAGATCACTAGAGTCTGAAAATAATTTAATTTATAAATTGATTCACGAGTTTTTCCTAACTCACTCGAGAAATTAGTCTCAGTATAAAGAGATTTCTATGACCGAAGAACGAAGCAGTGGATCTCGTTTATCCACTGCGCCTCCAAAACCTAAGTATGGTTGGGTGTCTCATGTTGTGGCAGGTTACCCCTACAGTGCACCTCGCGAAATGTCTAAATACGATTAACTGTCTCAAATAGCTTCTGTTGAGGAAGCCCTACTCACAGCATTCTCGTGGCGGGGGCGTTGTCCCACCAAAGTGAGAGGACGAAAAGCCAACATTGGGGACTATAAGCGGGTTGGCGGACCAATGGCAGTTCACCTAGAGGAGTTTATCAGAAACCCTGATTCCAAACCAACCAAGAACAGGCGTGGAAACCAAGCACACACCTTCGTGGTTGTAACAGTGGGTCCCGGCCCAATGAGACATCCAAGTGCATTGGGCACCTTGGACGTTTGACCTCGTACGAAGGATGTGTGATCCGATGAACTGTACACCGGCTCCCAATGGGTTGCGGTTGTCGCACACCGCAAAGCTATCTTGTGGTTCAGGCTTTCGCTAGTCAAAAGCTCTGGTTGTAAATTCCCCAAGACAATTCACCTCCTATGACCTGGTAAACTTAGCAGTAGCGTTCCCTCAAGCCAATCGTAAACTTTTTTTAATTTTTATAAAGATTGTTGTACCGTGATCTGTTTGGTACATAGTCTGAACCCAAACGTGTACAAAAATTCTTAATATCTATCTATAATATACATATATATATATGTATATATATGGTGTTCAGTTGTTCGCCGAGCAGAAATCCAAAGAAAGAGTCATCATACTGTTCTGTGGGAGCATGACTGGAAGACAGTTATCAGTGTTGTTTATTGGAAAATTTCAAACTCCGCGATGTCCCCGAGGTATACATATTGAAAATGCCGTCCCTGCAGTCATTATTCTTCGAATAACCCATGGGTAACTTTTTTCTTATCTCCCAATACACAGTCCCATGTCAGCCACAAGATGGTTTTTCAAAAAAGCACTGTGTATGGATAACGCCTCTTGCCGTAACAAAGCCGCAGTGTTCTCCAATGTCAAATTCGGACGGCTGCTTCCGAACTGTTCTTCAATATTGCAACCAATGGATCAGGGTGTGATTTCGTCTTTCAAATATTCGTTTCGGAAAAAAATAGTGGCGTATGTTGTCTTTGATCAAAGATGAGCAACTTAGCATGAAATCTGAAGTGAGCATCCTAATGGGCATGCATCTGATCAAGAAAGCTTGGTTTCCAACAGTCTTCGTAATCTGCAAAGATGTCTTTCTGCAGTTCTGTGTAGCACTCGAATGAGGTCATTTTTGTTGCAGTGGTCACTAAAGCCACGGTCATTCGGTCTATCGATGGGCTGTGTCGCACCAACGTGAAAAAGGGGTGAACGATAATCACGATGGTCTGGTAAGCGGGCGTGTGGAGTAGAATGTCTGATCCAAGCGATCAAATTCAGATTTTTATTATGGGAAAAAACTTACAAAGACTTCGCTTATCACATAGGGTGTTTACACTTTGGTTCGGAACACGATTCACAAGATCACAGTTAGTCCGTGAAAGTAAAATAGTAATGTAATGTTTCTGACGAGCACAGGAGAATATATTTGTAGTTGGGTGTTGAAACATAATGTTTGCCAGAACATCATCAAGCTGACGCTTGAAAGATACTAATGTTGGTGCACAGACCGTGTGAGGTGGTAGAGAGTTCCATTTGCTGCACACTCTGACTGCAAATGAATGGTGTCTGCAGTCGAGACGACTCTTTTGGGGTGCCAACTTCGTGGATGCCCTCTGGGATGAACATTGGTTGACAGAACCAAAAGAGATCTACATGGATGGTTGGGCTGTTGGAAAATCCGATTCAGTAAGATCATATCGTCTCTGATTTGACGATGTTGAGACAAGCACGGCCCCAAGAGCTGTAATCTTTCGCCATAGGTCTTGGAATGTTGACCTCTGACCATCTTGATAGCCATTCTCTGCGGATGTTCAAGTGCCTTCCGATCTCGCTGCAGCCATGGGTTCCAGGCCTGAATTGAGTACTCGGTATATGGACGGATATATATGGCTAACAGACGTGGAAACAAAGCCGGCTCAAACGATCCAAAAACACAATTGAGCAGTCCAGCCTGTTTTACCGCAATGGATGATGCCGTGGAACAGTTTGTGGAGCAGGTCTGCACGAACGACCACTCCCAGATCCTTCTCGGATGGAAAATGAGGCAGAGTTTCGTGTCCCAGAGTGTAGGAATAACGAACAGGGTGACATAGTGATAAAACTTTACATTTGGTAACACGGAATTCCATATCATTGGAAACAGATCATCCGTTGGCTTCGTCAAGGGCGTTCTGGAGATCAAATGAATCGTCTGGTTTTTGTTATTGTCCTCCATATTTTAGCATCGTCCACAAAAATTAGAGTTTGTGGTCCGAAGACGCCTGGGAGATCATTTATAGTACATCATTTTATAGTACAAATCCTTGTGGAACCCCACGGTTGACATCTATTGGATCAGAAAGTGAATTGGAAACACGAACTGACATGATGCGTAGGCGAAGAAACTCCCCGATCCAGCCAAGTACGAGTCCACGGATTCCATAATTATACAGCCTCCGTATCAGTATTTGATGATTTACTCTATTGAATGCTTTACAGAAGTCCAGGTAAATAACATCTACCCCTTGGCCTTGGTCTACAGCATGAGTCCAATCGTCCCGAGCCAAAATCAAGTTATTTGCACATGGACGATTTTTTCAAAGCCCGTGCTGGACTGGGGATAGTAAGTAATTTTTCTCCAGATGATCCATTAGCGAATCTGCAACAATAGATTCCATGTTTTTGAACAACAGCGAAAGGAGAGTGACGGGTCGGTAGCTGGCTGGGTCACTACGTCATCCACATTTGTAAATTGGTGAAATGAGACCGTTTTTCCACACCTGAGGAAGCACGGTATCGATATCGCATATGTCCTTGCCAGAACACCGATGGAATTAGACAGGTTATTGGCCAAAGGTCATCATAACCAGGGTATGACGTGCTCCGAACTGTTTGAGCGATGCACTTTTAACTTGTGAATCACGTGCTGAGCTTGATCCGTCACTTATGTTTGCAGAATAGATGTGTAGCGATCTAATACCACACTTTTCGTCAGAAAATCATAAATAGATTGCAAAGCGAAGAATCAGTTTGGAATATGAGAAAGAAGTAACTGTACCGA